ACTTGAATTCAGTTCGCCCTCCGCAGAGGTCCATTTAGTTTTAGTTAATCAAATGTGCGATATATTAATGACCGAAAAGAACTGTAAATACGAACGACGCCGCCATATAAATTTTTAAGTCTAGATACACACATTCATACCTATAAATAGCACTTAAGCATAGTTAATTATCGAATAAGGGAGGTGTATAAAATCGGGGACAGAGAACAGAAAACAGAGTTAAATAGTAGACGAAAAGCGAAAAGCGTTTATTGTGCAGGTTCTGTCTTTAAACTGTCACACGGCATTTCATATTTATCACTCTGCATCATCTTAATTTAATCCGAAGCCAAAAGCGGATAGTCTAAGTCTACATACATATGCCATTCTATATTCATATGCTTACGGCATCTTAGCTAAGTTTCATACTAGTAAAGACCCTAAAAACGTAACTTTTATGCTATTATAACCACCCCAACAAACAATCAAAACAATTCGATCTAGACTTGCCTCTTAAAGTGTTCATCTCTTTCTTTTTTTTTTTATCAATCATTCACACGCATGAGTTTGATATGTGCCATTCAATCAATGATTTGTCGCCAATCCCACAAAACTACTTAAGCTATAAAGTCAAGTTCTAGACTGTAAGCCAGGAAAGCATTTACGATTTAAACTATACTATTAATAAATGGTGGAATGACAAGGTCCGTTATACTATGTCAAGAATAAATTATACTTTTTGAAAAGATTTTGATGTGTTCAAAGTTTTTATTGCAAGAAAGTTTTATATTTTTATGCGTTCACTAAAAAACTGTATTCAACATTTCTTTGCACAACAATCTCATTAAACTCAGCAGTACACTAAAAACAATTAAAACAAAGCCAAATGCACGAGATAGGCATTTGAAAATTGTGAAATTTCTATTGTATTGAACGTAAACTTTGTAATCAAAAGAGAAATTGCTAAATATATAAAGAATATGTGAAATTTATTTCAAACTTTCGTTTTTTTTTAATGCTTATTGCCATTTATACAAATATTGTATCTTATACACTCCTTGGGGGGAAGAAGTTTGTTCAGGAAATCATCTGAATATTCCAGATTGTCCAAAATGATGTCATGCTGTAGAGGAGATTAAAACATATACATATTTTGATAATTTATGTGTTATTTAACGTACATTGTAGGGACAAGAGTGATTTAATTTTGATCGTGTCATAATGTCATTAATAACGAGCGCCTCGAAAGACGCATATGCGATCTTAGCAAACGCTGTCAGATATCTGTGAGATCATAAAACCGAAACTGAACTGCACAGGATAAAACCAGGACAGACAGCCCTCCAAAGATCTTGTAACAAGACAATCTGCAAGAACTTTCGGCCAAGCGGGAGGGACAATATTGCTGCGGAACTAACCACTTAGCAATCACTTCTGGATGGAACACATTAGATGTTTCCAAAAATAATTTCAAGCTTATGGATTTGGAACACGTAATAATCAACCAAATTGCTTTTGGCTTGGCTTTGAGGGCAAATTAAAAATTAAGCTTCAGATCCGTATATGCATAATACATATATGTGGTCTCCGGCAAAACAGCTAACTTTTTTAAATTGTATCCGCGCCAACAGAGGAACTTAAACACGGACCAGGGTTCTTCCACAAATCGATGAAAACTGTTATCTAAATTTGCAAGCTGACGACGATTGATTGATTAATTGTTGCCCCAAATTTAAATTTATAAGTAAATCTACAAAAAAAATTTCTGAAATTCTTTTTTCCTATTGTCTTAATTTTTGTAAAAATTTAATCTTAAGTAAATAAGAATATTGACATCAAATAATTACAAAATTTGTATTTGTTATTTGTGACAACGTAAAAACTGTATTTTATTGTTCTTTGACCATTTAAAATGTTGTGTACGCTGCACGTTTTTTGTTTACAACCTCGCTAAAAGATTTTTGTTTTGTTTTTGTCTGGCTTGAGTTCAAACAAACCTCTTGGAACAGCAGCACGAAATGCAATTGACTTTTGTGAAAAAAAAACTAAAATATCCTCTAAAAAATATTTCAGTCACATTATTCAAAGCCGAGACACCGACGAGCTTAAGAGCAGTGAAGCACTTTCTCTTTTAAAGCAGCAAAGAGCAGCAACTCAAGAGCCTCAGAAAAGATGGCTTGTTTGGATGGCTGGAGGTCGAGCTGGCAGTAGTTTGTGCCAGGCAGTCGTTCGGTGTGGAACTTGATTGCGGTTCCCGCTAGAAGCCAGTTACATTGCCCCGCGGAACTCAGTGTGTCAACGTCAAGCGTAGACAATTGGAAATCGAGGCTTACACGACCAGTGAAATCTGATTTGAATTTAAATCAGTTTTGGCCCATTTTTATTCTTGGCTCCGAGGAAATGAATAAACTTCCGATGCAGGCGTGGCGCTCCACAGCCTCAGGTGGTCACCATTTGCGACGAAGTGTATCGAAGATTGGTGGAGCAGGTTCCAGGCGCTTGGAGAGCCGCAAAAGCTCCACGGGCGTAGCCACTTGTCCGCATCTGGCGGATCCAGAGGCGGCCAGTGCCCCGCGAATACACTCCACGGCCGAGTGGCAGAATGCGCTGCCCTACAACCAGATACCCGGACCGAAACCCATTCCCATTCTGGGCAATACCTGGAGGTAAGGACAGCCAATCGAAAACGAAATCGAAAGACTCAAGCGGCAAACTCGCTCGCTTTCTCCCAGCGAACTGCAATTGCACCAAAAAACCAAACACCCTCCGTTTCGCTTGACCCAATTAAGTTAAGCAGCTTGTTCAACAATTATATTGAATTTAGCCACTCGTGTGTATTTACCACCACTTATTTGTTATGGGTTTTTGCACAAAAAAACACGCAATCCCAACTAGTTTTTCTCCCCTGTAAACGATGATGTATGCTAACTAAATATTTATAGGCGACTCTAAACTTAGCTTTCCTAACGATTCTTGTTAAATGTGCGTGTGGGAGTCCAGCAATTTACACCTGGCCTATCCTAAGCCTTAAGTTACAATCCGTTCGACGGCACGTCATCCAGTTAATTATCGTTCAATTAGCGTTGAATTCAAGGTCGCCCTAATAACGTGTGAAATTTTGCTGCACGCTGACGAATTTTGCCCACAAATCATATTTTTGCGCCTTTAGAAAAAGTCAATGCAACTTTCATTGTCATAGAGATTTGTTTAACCTTGAGTGCTCCGCAGATTGATGCCAATAATTGGTCAATACACCATCTCCGATGTGGCCAAAATATCATCACTGTTGCACGATCGTTATGGCAGAATTGTGCGTTTTGGAGGTCTCATCGGAAGGCCCGATCTTCTCTTCATCTACGATGCCGACGAAATTGAAAAGGTAAGCATTAAACACCACGGACGGCATAGTGGCTGGCACTTTCCGCATGACCAGCGAACCACGAAGGCACCAAGCCATTACACGAAATTCCAGCACCGAACAAATTGCCGGCAGTTGTCGGATGTTAAGCCAGCAATTTTATGAATTTTCAGTGCTACCGAAGCGAGGGACCCACTCCCTTCCGTCCCTCGATGCCCAGTTTGGTCAAGTACAAGAGCGTGGTGCGTAAGGATTTCTTCGGGGAACTCGGTGGCGTAGTCGGAGTGTAGGTGGAATGGTCTTATTTATATCATTTATATATATGTGTATATACTCCACTCCATTCAGGCACGGAGAACCTTGGCGGGAGTTCCGTTCGCGTGTCCAGAAGCCAGTGCTGCAGCTGTCCACCATCCGGCGATATTTGCAGCCGCTGGAGGTGATCACCGAGGATTTCCTGGTGCGCTGCGAGCAGCTGCTGGACGAAAACCAAGAGCTGCCCGAAGATTTCGATAACGAGATTCACAAATGGTCCTTGGAGTGTAAGTATATTTTGTAATTAGCAGCTATCTGAAATTATTAAACACACAATGTCCAATCTCCAGGCATTGGTCGCGTAGCCCTGGACACTCGTTTGGGCTGTCTGGAAGCGAATCTCAAGCCCGATTCGGAGCCCCAACAAATCATAGATGCTGCCAAGTATGCCCTTCGTAATGTCGCCACTTTGGAGCTAAAGGCTCCCTACTGGAGATACGTTCCCACGCCACTTTGGACGCGCTATGTGAAGAACATGAACTTCTTTGTGGGGTAACTTACAGTAACAAACACATTTGATTCACAAAAACTAATTCCAATGGTATTTTAGTGTCTGCATGAAGTACATTCAGAGTGCCACCGAGAGACTTAAGACACAACATCCTAGTCAACGAGCCGGCGAGCCGTCGCTTGTGGAAAAGGTCATCCTGTCGGAGAAGGACGAAAAGATAGCCACCATAATGGCTCTTGATTTGATTCTAGTCGGAATCGATACTGTAAGTCTTCTATACCGAAGAAAATGTATAGAAATGCTGATAACTCTATTACTTTCAGATATCCATGGCCGTTTGTTCCATGCTGTATCAACTGGCCACTCGCCCGGTGGAGCAACAAAAGGTGCACGAGGAGCTGAAGCGACTGCTTCCGGATCCCAACACACCACTCACAATTCCGCTGCTGGATCAGATGCACCACCTAAAGGCCTTCATCAAGGAGGTGTTCCGCATGTACAGCACGGTGATTGGAAACGGGCGCACCTTGATGGAGGACAGTGTCATATGTGGCTACCAGGTGCCCAAGGGAGTGCAGGCCGTCTTTCCGACGATTGTCACGGGCAATATGGAGGAGTATGTGACGGATGCGGTCACTTTCCGACCGGAGAGATGGTTGAAGCCACAGAACGGAGGAACTCCCGGCAAACTGCATCCGTTCGCCTCGCTTCCCTACGGATATGGAGCCCGGATGTGCCTGGGTCGACGGTTCGCCGATCTGGAGATGCAAATATTGCTGGCCAAGCTGCTGCGAAACTACAAATTGGAGTACAACCACAAGCCACTGGATTACGCAGTCACCTTCATGTACGCCCCAGATGGACCGCTTCGCTTTAAGATGACGCGCGTTTAGGTTGTAGATTTAAGATTTCGATTTTATACACGCTGTTTGTTGTAAATAATAGTAAATTTACATACAAATGTTTAAGTTTTCTACATTAGATTATATAATAAACTGACTAATCCTACTTTTATTTTCTTTTCCACATACGATACCAGTTTTTCACAGTTTTCAGACTCATATGGGCATCGGCTTTCGTTTCGCCCTTGAGTTGGAAGACAATATCTGATTTGTAGGAATCTCGGGCCTCTTCCAAAATGGTTCCAAAGATTTCGCATTGAACATTCGATGTGAGCTTCTTTTCGTTGTAGTTACGTTCTTTTAGACGATCGTAGAGCGTCTTATTGGGACAGGTGACCACGAAAACGGCTTGGAACCAGCGTTCTGGAAAGAAATCACAGCCATGGTATTCCACGATGTTGCCGCCCTTGGTCATCAGGGGTTCCAAGTGGTCCATCAGCTAAATAGGACACTACAGTCATTAAAATTGTTAGGTAACTAGGATTTGCAGACCTTTTCTTCGTCCAAAACGGGGCAGTCGTACTCCTCATCGTATTCCTCCACAAAATCGTTTTCCTTGGCGATTTTGGAACAGTCCAACCAGTCAAACTTTAGTTGGGAGGCCAGACGTTCGCATAAGTACGATTTGCCAGCACCAGGAGTGCCTGAAATAACAATAAATGAATAATAAAATATAAACATTGAATAGGGGCAAGCACAACCCACCGGTTATTAATATATTTGGTTTGGCATCAGGCGATAGCTCCGACATATCTTCTACTTATTGTTAAGATTATGTTTGTGCAATAGAGCAGAATAATTGTGGATAGCACTATTGTTTTGCTTGTTAAAGTTCAACACGTGAGGCACATGAAATTGTTTATATTTTCTTATTCTGAGACATTGTACTGCCAACTTGTTTTCTTTGGTCGTGCAGGAATGCCACACCGTTTCTATGCATTTGTAGAGCTGCCAGACTGTTTGTTTTATTACTTCCGCTGCGTTGGCGCAAAAAAGCTAAAGTTATTTAAATAAAAAATTGATTAAAGCGAAATGAAAATATTAAAAGAATTATAGAATTATTAAACCTATTTTTAATCTATTAGTTATTACAATTTTATTTAGTCATGTCTATTAAATATGTATTTAATTTGTAAAACATCCTTTTCTCTAAAAGGCTTATCACAAAAACAACCAAATTCGGTTGGAATGTAAGAAAGCTTCATTCATTGAATTGATTGCTTGATTTTAAATATTAATCATAACTTATAATTTTATAACACTATGAAATTGCAGCGCATTTTGTCAAATTTTTTCGAACGTGCACAGATGCCCTACTGTCGTCGTTGTGTCTATCTTCGTTTGGCCATTTACCGTTGCTTTTTCCTGGTTCTCTCTTTCTTTCCATTCCTGCGAGAACACAATCTGTATCTCTTCCTCTGCCTTTGACACATTCCTCCTTTTGCCTTCGTTCTCGAAAGCTAGAAGGTTCATTCCCACTTTTGAAGCTGAAAAATGTCTGTCGACCTGAACGAATCGGAAGAAAAAATGGACCTTAAGGTGGATCCGGAGAGGCGCCAGCATGTGCCGTACATATTAAACGGAGAGCTATACCGCATCGAAAACCAGGTGGGCGATAATGTTACGGTCAAGTGCTGCTACTGTCCGCCGGATCGGATTTATCGCGGCAGCGTGCGCTCCACGGGAAATTTTCACATGCACATAAAGGTAGGTGTTCCGGGATCTTATAGAAAAAGAAAGCTTCTGATATTTTTGATATTCCCGGGTGAAGCGGCGTCACAGTTCGTTGTTGGGAAAACTGCACGAAATGAAGGTTGCGGCACTCGAGGAACGCCGTGATCGCATCATGAAGAATCGGCGTTTTGGTAAGCCCCGCAAGAAGACCCCCGTCCCAGCCTCCAGTACGGTTGCGATTTTGCCGGAGATTCAAAATCCTACGGGAATTAAAAGCCACGAGCTGAAAATCAAAACGGTGTTCCAGCGCCACAAGCAAGAGCAGGAAGGAGCCACTCGCAAGGTATGCATATCACAAGTGCAGAAGCGAGATAACATCTCACTTTGCCAATCACCGTTAGAGCGGCCGGCCCCACACTTGCTCGTGTATTTTATATACAGTATCTGTTCGCACGGCGAAATAGCTCAATGAAAAATGGAGCTTGTGTTAGTGTGCTGATCCCTTTATCTCTTTCCAGTCCGGAGATTCAACTTCAGATAACAGCATCCAAGCCAATCCGCCAAATATAGCCAACAGCCACGGTGTTTTTGTTCAGGATGTGAGTAAATTTGAAAAATAAATGCAGTAGAACTTCAAAAGTTTGAAACTCTATATATATGTTGAATTGATTTTACCAGTGCTTAAATTATCTGAACCAAAATAGATTTGTTTCTTAAAAATTTCACTATATGCCACTTTATCCTACCAATGGCTCCTGATCAATTGTAGCCCAGTAATTGTAGTACGTTTTAATTTTAATTATTCTCGATATTAAATTTTTGAAGAAGAATTTGATGAACGTTTCTTCCTCAGTTACATAAAAAATATACACATATTAAATTATAGCCAAGTATTGAATTTGTTTATGAATTTATTATCTAAGCTTATTAATTTAATAAATTGCAGTTAAAGTTAAAGCTTTGCTAACAGAAGAAATAAAACAGAAGCTACTATGGACTATTGCTCGTGAGCTAAAATTTGAAATATCCTTCTTTAATATTATTAATCTTTTTTTAAGTTTATTTACTAAAGTAAATTCCTCTTTCTTTTCAGGTCTCGAATATCTCTGTGGAGACCCTGCCCAGCAATTCGGCATCCACAGCTGCTAGTGTCTCTCTATTGGGTCGTCCCGTCAAGCCGGAGCAAGCCAGTGGCTCTTTATTCCTGATTGATCAACCAGCAGCCATCGATTTGAGCCGGACTCCATCGCTGCCGGGCGAAAGTAAATCCAGTTGCTCGCTGTCCTCCTCGCTGGAGGATGGCTCCATGGACTACTCGCGCTCCCAAGCCGTCTCACAATCGGTGTCGTTTACCCACTTCTTGGAGCACCCTCAGCGGGATGTATTGCAGCGCCTGGAGCGCACGATGGCCCAAATTAATCAGGAATTGCACTGCCGCAATCAGATTGAACATAACCGTTTGCTGTTGGAGGCGGCCAAGTTCAAGTTTCTGAATCCGAATTTTCAATTTGAACCCATTCAATAAGGGTGTAATTTAAAACAAAACACTTTGTATTCCACTTATACCAAAATAGAGTGCCTGAAGGATTTATTTAATTGTAAATTTTGAAAATCTAAATCCGAAACACCAATTTGATCCCACTCAGTATTTGTAAACATCAAAAATCTCCCTCAAATTTTCTATTTTGAGACGACTTTAAACAAGGGACCTTAACGAAGATCACATTTATTTTATTTTCCACTTTTATAACAATAAAGTGTATTGAACCGTATTAATTTGCGATTTCAAAAATTTGTTCACTTAAAAAAGGCCTCGATAAAATACTCTTAATCCAGTTATGGGATTTTGCAGCTGTCCGCAGATGGTTACACTCAATCGGCTTTGTTTCGTATTCTTTTGCCTTTTTGTTGTTTAGCATCATTTATGTTTTAAATAATGGACGATAAGAGGACATTAATTGATGTAGGTGATGGCACCAGCGATGAGGATGATCCAATTATTCCCAGTAAAGGGACAGGTCATAGCTCAAAGCCAAAAGAAGATGCCGGATTGGTTGGCCTTAACGAAGAGCCCGCAACTAGTTCTTCAGGTGGAGCAGCACAAAGTATTTCGGGGATTTACCACTTAATAGATAATGATCAGCCCCCGCTACTGGAAAACAATACCCCTTCAATTGCGAGTGAAATAGTAAGTATATACCTAAAACCAAAAATGGTGAATCATCATTTGATTTTACAAGTAGCTCTTCGCTTATCTTTGATCACTCATATTAAGTTTATTACTCGATGCACTTTGTTTTTTTTTTTAGCAAACAAATGGAAATGCGGGTAGTACTAATAGGGATATTAACAATTCGGAACCCATTTTCCATTTAAGATCCAGGACGGCAGCGGCTTCCACGCCCAATTACGAGGTCTGTATATTTGTGGGGTGTATGATATATGTTCCTTATCAGTAACTCGCGCTTGCAGAGCTTGGACTATGAAGTTTGCGAAAACACGCTGTTTCAAGATGAACAGCGGAAACGGCTGGCGGAACCTTTCTCCCTGCGCAAGGATGTTATAAGATGGATCATCTTTATACAGATTGGCATTATAACGGCACTCATAGCCTGCAGCATAGATATCATAATCGAAGAGCTGTCGGAACTGAAGTACGAATTCCTTATTAAATGTACGTAAAATTAACTGTTATTCATATTATCTCGGTTTCGAGAAATTTTTTCAAATCGGAATGAGTTTGCTTCCAATATAAATATATTATCCGCAAGGTCTAAGAAATGTGGCTATAAGTTTCTATAAGAAAGTTAGACTATCTTGTCTTAGGATTGTCCCACAGTCTATACAAAAATTGCAACTTTTAATATGTAAACGGATATATTTAGATAAGCACAAAAAAAACAGCTGTGTTCACTAATGACGTTAATGGTTTTCTCTCTACTTAAAATTCGATTTTTAATCCCTCATGTTTTACTGTATTTTTTTATTATTTATGTACAATTTGATACTTATAGTATATATTTTCAGCTGTGCAAAAAAACGTTCCCCTCAGCGATGCAAGCGATGGCGATCTTGTCATTCCTTACCTGTACTGGCTTCTCTTCAGCATTTTGCCGGTGGCCTTTGGAGCAGCCATGGTTACGTACATTGAGCCCATAACCGCCGGCAGTGGTATTCCCCAAGTGAAAAGCTACCTGAATGGCGTCAAAATACCGCGCATTGTACGGATTAAAACGCTTGCTGTGAAGGCGATCGGCGTGATAACATCAGTGGTAGGTGGTTTGGCTGGTGGAAAGGAGGGTCCAATGATCCACGCCGGAGCCGTGGTGGCTGCCGGAATCTCGCAAGGCAAGAGCACCACGTTCGTGAAGGATTTCAGGGTGTTCAAGGCATTCCGAGATGATCACGAGAAACGGGATTTCGTCCTGGGCGGAGGAGCAGCCGGAGTATCAGCCGCTTTTGGAGCCCCGATTGGTGGCATGCTGTTCTCGTTGGAAGAAGCGGCCAGCTTCTGGAACCAGAATCTCATTTGGCGCACACTGGTGGCCTCCATCATCAGCGTGTTTACCCTAAACATTGTGCTGTCGGCATATCATGGCCTTAATGATTTCACGTTCACGGGCCTCTTCAATTTGGGCAAGTTTGATCAGCCGCTGAAATTCGACTACTTCGAGCTGCCCATCTTCATGCTCCTGGGTGTAACTGGAGGCTTACTTGGAGCCGCCTGGAACTCGCTTAACACCAGAATCAATAAGTTTCGCAAGCGCTTCATTCCCTGGAAGATTGGCAAAGTAATCGAAGCGGTTGTGGTGGCCATAATGGGAGTAACGCTGGCTTGCCTGATGATCTACTTCATCAACGACTGTCGTCCGCTGGGCAACGACCCAACCAACCATCCCGTCCAGCTTTTCTGCGAGGACAACGAGTACAATGCCGTGGCTGCCCTGTGGTTTCAAACGCCAGAGGCCACAGTTCGATCCTTGTTCCACGATCCTCCAGGTGGGAGTTTGCTAAAGGTGTTAACTTATCTCTCAAGTTTCTTTTTGTTTTTCTTCTAGGCTCGCATAAGATCCTTACGCTAACCCTGTTTACAGTCGTTTACTATGTGTTGTCTTGTGCCACCTTTGGATTGAATGTCTCACTGGGAGTGTTTATCCCAACTGCCTTGGTTGGCGCTGCTTGGGGGCGTCTCCTGGCCATGGTTACGTTTTACCTGTTCCCGCAGGCGGTAGGTAATGTGAGACATCATACTCTAAAGTTAAACCACATTTTCCGATTCTAGGAGTTTCTGCATCCGGGTAAATACGCTCTTATTGGAGCAGCCGCCAATTTGGGCGGAGTACTCCGCATGACCATCAGCTTGTCGGTCATCTTGATGGAAACAACTGGCGTGGAGAGCTCCTTCTTCTTTCCTCTCATCATTGCACTAATCAGCGCCAAGTGGGTGGGCGATTACTTCAACGAGGGCATCTACGATACCCAGATCCAGGAGAATCATGTGCCCTTGCTGACTTGGGAGCCGTTACCGCAATACAAGGGCTTGACAGCTCAAAAAATACTCAGCAGTCCTGTGGTCTGCATCAAGCTTCGCGATAGCGCACATTACATATACTCGATGCTAAAGAAGTGTGAGCACAATGGATTCCCTGTGGTGGATGATGTGCAGGGGGTGAGATAACTGAAATGTTTATAATTTGAGTTTTTAAATTATTACTCATTTAAATCTTGCAGGATCGTCGTTCAGAGGGTCGTGTTTGCGGCATCATCTTGCGTTCGCAGCTGATTGTCATCTTGCTGAAATCGTTATATGTGGAGAATAAACGCTTCTGGCTGCCAGATACTTCTATTCAAACTTTTAGAGATCTCTATCCGCGATATCCATCAATAAAGGTATTTAGCAGGCTAAAGATTTGTTAAGTCGTGGGTTTTAAGTCTCCCCTTTCAGAGCGTTCGCAAGCTAGATGAAAAAATAAACTACACAGTGGACCTGTCCATGTTTATGAATCCATCGCCTGTACGAGTCAATCCGGTGAGTCACTTTCCGCAACCCAAAAGCTCGATTCAAATACTAATTATCCCCATCCAATTCTCAGCACGATTCGGTTCCCAGAATTTTTCAGATTTTCCGAGCTCTGGGTCTGCGTCACTTGTTGGTGATTAACAGCGAGAATCGCATTGCTGGCATTATAACGAGGAGGGATTTTATTTACAAGTAACTTATTTGCATTCAATGCAGAGTGTGTATGTCTATCGAATGCCAAAAGGTGGCTGTAATTTTAAAGAAAATAAATATTTTATTTCCTTTGTAATCGCCACCACTTATAATTGATTCACAAAAATCCGTTTCACTTTTGATAAACTTTTGTTTTAATCTGCTCATTACGTTTTTACAACTTAATTTAATGACCTTAAACGCGTAAAATATAATCAATAGTATTCACAAGGAATTGTACAAGGTTTGTGTGTGTGTGGGTGTTTTGTTTGATTTGTATAAAAAATACGTTACATATATGTAAAAGTAAAAGGGCTTGATTTTATAAAATCTTAAAACGCTAAACAGACGTGTTCTGGATCCTAATTACTAGCACAACTGTCTCTTCTATCCGTTTGCAGTGCACAAAACTTTAAAAATATACGTGACTTATTATGTGTGTGGTCTTGTGTTTAAGGTGTGTGTGTGTGTGTGGCTTTATATCGACTTTAGACCCTAATGCTAAAAGCGCTTCAATAAAACAAGACGCTGCCAGAGTAAAACTAGTTCTTAAGGTAATGCAAAGTAAGCCTATAAAATTCTTAGTTAGGAGCAAAGCGCCTAAGATTAAATGACTTTTTGTACAAAATGAAAAAGAGCTTTCCTTCGATCAAATATCCAATGCCCAATGCCATGCCGGACTTGCATACCAGTCAATGATGATGGGTTCGGTTTAGCTGCAATCTCGATGACCGCGTCCAGGAACTGGTATCACATTTAAAAACGTACTTTCAACTTTCTATCGAATACAGGCAAATCCTTTTACTTTTTCTCCTCTTCATCACCTCACCGTCATGTGAATGAATCGGGCCAAGCAGCGACGACTGCTGCTGCTGCTGCTACTGTTGCTGTTGGTGCTGTCCTTGCCGGTTAGCTCTCCATGGGTCGCACCTGCTGCAGTGCCTCCGCATTTGTAGTGGCCGCCGCGGCCGCTGCCGCACTATTGCAATGTTGCTGTTGCTGCTGTGGTGGCGCATTGGCATTATTGGTGGTCGAGTCCGCGGACAAAATGCTGCTGTTGCACATGGAGTGCGATGATGTCGATGAAACCGCCGACAGGGCCAGCACATTGCTCACCGCCGATGCTGCTGAGCCTGGCGGTGGGGCAGAGTTGAGCGCTGGACCTGATCCGTCTGGAGTTGGAGCAGCGCCACCAATCAACCCGCTGACTGCGCTCTGCACCACCTTGTACCGGTTGTAGATGCGGTAAGGCGTCCTCGATGTGTCCTTCTGTTGCACCGTCTTGGTCTTGCTGGCGGATCCCCAGCCGCTGGCGTTGATCTGGTCCGCTGTCTTGCCCAGCAGCCAGTCGATGCAGTTCTGCTGCAGCTGGTCGCTGACGTGCTGCTGCAGCCATTTGTTGACGTAGGTCTGGAAGTGAGCGTATTTCGCCTGAGTGACGCGCGAATGACTCTGTAAAAGGGAAAGGGGAAAATCAGTTAGTAAAGTTTAATATAATTAATTGAAGATTAATTGATTCAAATCGATTAAATCAACGAACTCATTTGGAAACTCTTCGCAAACACTCACCTTTTTGGCACGACGCACTGCATCGTACTTGAGTAGCTTGAGATTCTTGCTGGTCACAAAGCATCGTCCATTGCTGGCGTTCGTGTTGACTTCGTCGCGATCATTGAACGCGTACTGCTCGGCCAGGCCCACCTGTGCGGTACCCAGTCGCTCCGGCAGTCGTTTACTGCCCCAGCTGTTGTTGTTATTGTTGTTATTATTGTTAGTGCCGCCCGTGCCCGAACTGCTGCTGGTTGAGATGATATTGTCGCCAGAAATGGATTCACCTGCTGCCGCAGTCGTCAGCTGCTGCTCGCTGCGATTTCGTTTCTGTTCGAACAACTGCCGCACTTGCTCCTCGTGCAGCTGCGACCGGCGCTTGTTGCGCAGCAGAAAACGCGCCTTGCGAGCTCCTCCTCCGCCTCCGATTCCACCTCCTCTGTGGCCCAACTGCAATGAGAACAATTGAAAAGTCAGTGTTTATTGTGCATAATTGCGACAATTGCCAGCAGAGCAATTGAAACACGGCGGCAATTCAACATGCTCACAGAATTTACGAGATTACTTAAAGCTGGGAATGCTGAGATGTTGTGGTGGATTGTGTATATTGTAGCATTACAGAACAGTTAGATAGTTATAGTTGGGGAATTTATAGAAAGATAAATACTGAGAGAACCCAGGATGATGAAGGTACCAGGCCAAAAAACACAAAGACAAAGACTCATACGCACTGTGGAACGGAGGTTAAACAAAAATCGACCAAATACGGGGGTTGGGAAACGAAACGAATTTGAAATCAATCACATTTACCAGTACCAGTACCATTAATCAACAACAATAACAAACAAATCTTAGACTAAAACTAAGTGAAACGAGGAGGGAGTTCTACAATGCGATGGCAACTTACCTTGCTTAAACTTAAGTCTTAAGTCTGTGTGGCAATTACTGAGTTCGTTTTGCAACGCCTAACCCCAGATAAAACCACAAAAACACCCGACCCCATCATCTTGCCCATCTTGCCCATCCCTCTGTTTGAGTAACTTCGAAACTTCGAATATGACTTTTTAATGGGCTGCTCCAGATATATTTTTCAATTTCACTCTCCAGTAATGTCCACAGTTGTGATTGTGTGTGCTAAGTAATTTACAATTATTGAGTGTGTGGAGTGTGTGTTGTGTGTTCTTATGCCTAGATATAAAAATGTTTACCGAATTTAAAATGACATTTGGCTGCTTCCTTTACAAAATTAGCTACTAAACGTTTTACACATAATAATACATACATTGACCGATTACCATTAGCATTACGTTATGTACAGTTAAAACACGATAATTAATATATACATTTTGTGTACGGTGTAATTTAGGCCGACGGATAAGCACAATAATCTGACCATTATCATTATCATCATCATCATCAGCACCACTCTCACACACACACCACACCCCAATCACACACATTTACCAACAATTTCATAATCATTATCATCACATCACAACGCCGATGTTGGTTTGTCGATCACCCGAAATATTAGACTGTCTATCACTATGGATAACTCTTGGACAACTCAAGGCATAACGAAATCAGAAGGGAATGCAACAAGCGCGTGACTACGTTAACGTTATTGTTATCATGATCTACTATTTTACATAATGGTTTGTCTTTATGCATGTTTGTTTGTGGATGGAATTCTACATTTATTTGAGGCGTGTTCTTTGGGTTTTTGTATCCTCGTTGGTTGGGTTGTTATTGCAGTTTTTCGTTTTCGTTTCGTGTTTTTGGGCAAACAATGCATTACATTAAATGTGTGTGTGTGATTGGGTGAGTGTGGTAGTGGTTGTGGCGGTGGTGGTGGTGGTGGTGGGTGAAAAGGTTTGGTGTTTAATTTCTCTTATTTTGGTTTTGGTAATCAAAAAACAAATTCATTTATTACTATTTCATTTTGCAATATGACTTTTTCTTCTTCTTATTCAATGAAATTATCAAAACTATGTTATTTCAAGCCTTGGAATTGACCTGGTACGAAAAAATAAATCGGAAAAAATGAGAGAAAAGAATGCAAAAAAGCATTAATTAGTGAATATTTTCTTGTTCTTTTAATGTATTTATTTTTTATTTTTTTCATTGCTCGTATGCAAGCAGCGTATTCGTTTGTATGCATACGAAATGTGGGCGATTAATAAGTTGGCGGCATGTTGATAAATGATACCGAAACGAAAAGATACAAAAATAGAAACAAATTTACAACTGGCTAAATGAGGAGAGGGGAGAAGATAAATAATAGAAAGTGCAGCGGCGAAAGTTGATAGGGGTAACAACAGATAGTAAACCGAAAACTGAGATATATATATATATATATATACAGAATGCAGTACGGTAGGCTGTGGGCTGTGGGTTGTCTTGTCCATCGTCTAAACCAATTGGTAGGTTTGTATGTACAGTGGAATAAGTACTGACCAAAAACACAACTCAGGAGAAGAACAGGAACAGGAACAGGGAACCAAAAACGTAAACAACCGAAATGAACAACGAAATACACAAACAACATGGTTAACCACTCTTCAAGCACACACCACACAAAGCTGCTCCGGCTCGGGAGCATCATTATCGCTGCGCCACGGCACACTCACCTCGGCAGTATCTTCCTCCTCCTCCGTCTTGATATCGGACGCCTCTACAATATTGTCGCCGCCTCCCAGCGCCGAATTCGAGCCGGCACTGTTCCCTCCGCCGCTGCCGAGCGCCGGATTCGCCAATCGTTCCACATATTTGCTAAACTTCTGGGCCTTCAGCGCAGCCGGCTTGTCCACCTCCTCGGGCTCGGAATCGAGCAGCTCGATGGTAACTCGGCAATCGATTTTGTACTGCAAATGTATTATCTATACGTTAGCTTCTCTCAGAGTGTGTGTGATTCGAACCAAACAACTTACAATGTACACCTTGAAGCAGTTCTCGTCGTTAAGAATGCTTTCCGCCTTCCGCTGATAGGTCATCTCCCGGTCAAAGGTCTTGTGGGCATCCCGACAGAGTCCGCCGGTGCAGCCGCGCCTTTGCTCCGAAGCAAACAACTCCACACAATCGAGGGCGGCTCGCTCTGTCACACAGTATTGCAGCTGGCGAACGGCATTCGAGACAACCTGAGATGAAATAAATGTGTGGGATAAGTATTACTATACTTTGAATTCAAGTCCTTAAATTTGGGCAATACTTCGTTTAGATAATTCCAAATCTAATTAGCTTTAATGAACAACTTACCTTATCCAACGTGAAAGAGATGTAGGCATAGATTCCAAACATTTCCCGCATTGTATCCTCGAAAGTGTTCGAGTCCATATTGCCGTCTAGGACGTTCTTCAGCATGTCAAGGAAGGTCGGATAGTAGTCCTCCACTTGGATCTCCGGCTTGGGCTTTAACCTAAGCGCAGTGGCCGTGCTCTCCCTTCGGTTCACGCGACAGCGCTCCTCCTCGATCGCCAGCAGGCGGGCCCGCTCGTACATGACGTGCAGACGGTCGCACAGGATCGCATGGAGCCGCAGGAATAAATACCAGTTGTTGTTGGCGAAGAAAAGCGAGTAGGATTCGTCCTGATTATAAGAGTAAAAAACAATGGTTTATTAATTATTTCACTTAAAAGAGCTCAATTAAACTCACGTCATGCTGCCCGTGTGCGTGAGGTGGCAATAGCTTGGGATTGGCAAAGTCCGCCGTATGCTCCAGCTTGATTTCCACATCGCTGCCAGCTACTGTCGAGTCCTGTGCTTGCCTGGGACTCGAGACAACTCCGGAGGTGCTGCTGCTGCTGGCACCTTCGTCTCTGTGGGTGGAGAGGGGATCTTCCTTCGCCTTGGCCTCGGATCCGGATGCAGATGATGATGATGATGCCGCTGCTGCTGCCGCCGCTGCTGAGGATGTAGATGGAGTTGCATCGTCCGCCGGCGTCGCTGATGAAGACGTTGTCGCAGACGCCGCTCCAGCCGATCCACTCGTCGCCTTTAAATCGTCAGTCTCTTTCTTGATTCCCGCCGGAGTACCGCTGCCGCTGCTTGCATTACTGCGTGCCGGAGAGGCACCTTCGCTGGGCGTACTCTTGGCATTCCGGACCGACGACTCCGTGCGACCCAGTGGCGAGTCCACGTCCATTTTCGTATTGTCATCTACCAAAAATGGAAAGGCTATATAGAGAAACGGGTGCACAACACATAGGTTTCGAATATTCGATGGGGTCAGTGAGGTGTCGGTGGTGCAGTGCAGTGCAGTCCAGTCCAGTTTTTTTTTTTTTTTTTTATGTATATATTGTTTAATTACAGGTGTTTGTTGTACGTTACAAAATTTGGTTTTCATTGGTTTATTTTTGTTTTGTTTTGTTATCAAGTAATTGCAAAAAAGAAGAAAAAAGAAAAAGAAACGAAAAACATTCACTATGTTAAATAATAAAATCGAGCAAATATTAAGGGAAATATGCTTTTTAAATTCGAAAGAAAATTAGACATGCATTTCTTTTGCATGACTGATTAAAGTTTCAAATTTACAAAGCTATACTCCTAGCACAAAAAAATAAAATAATAATTAATTGTTGTGAGTAAGGATGATTGAGATGATCAAACCAAGGCATAACCATCTCATGGGCTGATTAGTTAGTTGTTTTAGCTACTAAAGCAAGTAATGAATATCTTGGCGGTTAGTTAGGGTGAATCAGATGATTAAAGGTGGGAAATTCGACTGAGGGAACTCACCGTCATCTCGCTCATCGTCGCTCAGCGGCTGCCGTGGCGCAAAGAAGAGGTCAGGCACAAATTGTCGGATGATCTGCTTGATCTTCTGCTTCTCCTGCTTCTGAATGCCCGTCTGTCGCTTGACGTGGTGGATCAGCAGATTGGCGGCATCATCCAGTATGGTCTTGTCCTTGTAGGGCAGCATCAAATGTGGCCCGTACGGCTCCATGGCTTCGTCCTCCTGGTCATGCCGCTCATCATACAGCGTCTCGATCTCGTTGAAGAGACTCTTGGAGCGCAGGGCCTTCATGTCGTTGGGCTTGAAGTTGATGGCTTGGTGATCGAGAGACTTGAGGTAATACTTCTCGTTCTGTTCCCGCCATTGCTTGTTGAACGTCTGCACAAAAGGTACAAAATTGTACATTTTTATTTTATTTACATAAATGCAAACAATGCGTGAGGAGTTCACTTACCTTTTGCGCTTCTCGCCACTCCTCCTCCTTGACTTTCAGTCGCTTCAGTACAATAGGCACTGCCACCGAGGGGTTTTTCTTCATGCCCTGGATTATCTCGCCGGATTTGTCGCCATAGATGCGATGGATGGCCCGCTGGTGTATCGTTTGGGATGTGCCACCCAGATGATCGTCCAGGTGGAACTTTGCCAACTCCTCGGTGGACATGCGCGACATCTTCTTCTGCACGTTCTCCAGCACCCGAATCGTGGCACTGTTCACCTCGATTACCAGGTCCAGCTCGAAGCGCTCGTCCTCCGTTCTGTGAATATTCCTTTTGTTTAGAGTGTGCGCATTGGTTAATTGAAATAAACGAAAGCCAAAGAAACAGAATATCCAAAACAAACGACAGTGGTGCAGATTGAGAATAAAGTGTAGGATGCGGTTAAAACACATGATTAAAGTAAATCAAATCAAATTAAAAACTCGATTTCTATTTTAACCGCAATTATTAATCTCAAAAGGAAAAGGAAATGAAACAAAAGTACCAATGGAGGAGTTCCCGATTTTACTCGAGAATTGTTTTTTTTAAAGTGGAAATACTGAGTTTTTAGAGTTTAGAGGAATGTTTCTCACCTGTAGATTGTCTCCTCGAACTGAGTTTTCCGCGATGTCACAAAGGTGGAATCTTCGCTGGCCCACGTCGGAAAGGAGACCCACTTGTCGTTGAGCACCTCCCGACAGAGAGCCGTTCGTCCGCTACACTTCTTGGGCACTGTGGACTGTGGCAGCGCACAATATGATGCACCCAGTCGCTTGCACGAGGACAGATCCACATCCTGAACGTACTCGGCGGCACTCTGGTGACTGCTGCCTCGATCGTGAGAACTATTGCTGCTTCCGCCTCCCTGACGCTGCGTGGCAGGCAAGGGCATGCCATCGATCATTCCACCGGCGGGTTGACCTGAAGGCGGGCCCAGAAAGTCGGTGAACCATCGCAGCAGGTCGGGGAACTTCATAAGGAACGGAGATACCAGACCGAGCAGCTCTGTTTTGGAAACGATTTCCTGGTTGAACAGAGTCAGGCATCGCAGGAAGTTGTCGTAGACCTCGGGACTTCGTAGGGCCTTTCGTACCTTGTCGAAGAAGGCGGCGTCGGAGATGGTGCACTTGCTCGATGCCTCCGAGAAGCTGACATCCCGACAATATGGTTTCGGTCGCTTAGCAGGCGGTGCTCCACTAGCATAGTGTCCGGCCAAACTGTCATCGCCCGGCCTTCTCGAAGCTGAACCGGAATTATGCTGACCATGGTGACCAGAGGGCAGCGGCGGCGTGGCGTAACTGATCCCCGGCGAGCTGCGATCGAGGGAATTGTCCGACATGTGCGGCATGGAACCAATCACCGATGTGATACCATAACTTGGTGACTTTTTGGCATTGTGGCCATGCGAGAGATTCGGATTGGGCACGTGGCCGACGTACTTCTGCACATGATGGTTATTCCGATGCTCTTTGTCGTACGCCACCATTACACTGGCTCCTACACCAGGCCGACCGAGATTGGTGCCCGCTGGCGTACCGGCGAGATGGTGATGGCCGCCCACTCCAGCTCCTCGCTGATGCGCTTGCTGCTGCAGACCTGAGTGATAGTCCTTCTCGAAGAGGACATCGTTTCGCGTCGTCGCGTTCAGGCCTGATCCAATCACATGATTCTGCTGTTGCTGCTGATTATTGTTGTACGTCTTAATGCTCACACTGGTATTCACCGCCGACAGATTTCCGATGGCCGCAGCATGGGCACTGTTGTCGATCTGTGGCAGCGTCGTACCGCCGCCACCCAAATGCAGAGGGGAACCACCTGGTGCTGGCGATGCGGATGACATGGTAATGTGGGCTCCACCGCTCAAAGTGGCCGTGGGTCGTTGCTTGCCATGATCGTTGTGCACGGACGCTGATTTTGCCATGTACTGCCCAGCCTGATGATTGGTAGCGTCGGGCAGAAATTGGCCAAACTCTCTCAGCAAATCCTCATCCTGGCCAAAGAGTTTTGCAACTTGCGTGTACACCTCCTGTTCGGTGAGCATTTTGCCCTGGTTTAGACTGCCCTCCTTCATCACCTTCTGCTCCTTTTGATAGGCATGCAGAATCTCCAGGAATTTCTTGTACTTTGCCGGTTGGTTTTGGAAACGGTTCTGTTCGATAGAGGCATACAAAATAGTATAAGTATAAACTACATTGTTTTAAAATATTGAGCACACTTACCTTGATCTTATTTACATAGGTTATGGCGTGATTGAACTCCACCGGCTGATTCTGCTGGCCCGTCTCGCCCAGGAGAATCGATTGGTGCGCCTGCTGGATGTGATGCAGATTGTGCTGGGCCGCTACCGCTCCTGGCCCACCTCCCGCTCCTCCGTGTGGGCTTAACTCGCTTAAGGAATTGGGCGTTGGAGGTCCGCCGACCACAATACTGGCGGTGGCATTTGCACTGGCTGCTGAACCAGCCACTTGGCCTGTGGGCGTTATGGTGGCCCTTTCTCGGTCTCTTGAATAGTTCTGCGGCACGTTGTGCGCCGATACGGAGATGCCCGGTGGCTGCTGACCAGGGCCTACGGCTGTTGGCGCCGGTGAGTTGGTCACACTTACGTGGACATGACCTGGCGACTGCGACGCAGGTGGCGTTGCCTGCTGCTGCAGCGCATGGATGGTGGTCTGGGTAAGCGATGCTCCGCCGTGAGTCATAAGATTTACAGCTCCAGCGGATTGAATCTGGGCCACAGCTGCTGCTGCGGCCGCTGCTCCAGCTCCTGATGCCGCTGTCAAAGTTGCCGCATTGGTCGTCTTGATGGCGATATGTCCGGCAGCTGTCATTGGGCTGCTTCCGGTGAGCATGTGCACCGTTCCCGTGCTCGATGGCGCTCCAGGGGGCGAGGGCATCGATACCACCGGTACCGAGCAGCCGAGAGCGTCCGAATGTATCTCGATCTTGTAGCCAGGTGGCAGAAACATGTTGAAGCCGTAGATCAGCTCCGTATGTCCCTTGAAGAGCGTGGAGACTCGCTCAATAACTCCGGGTGTGTCGATGCAGTGCGACTTAAACTCCTTCATGATGTCGAGGAAGTTGTTGTAGATCTGCGGCTGGTCCGCATACTGGTACTTCACCTGGTCCAGGTAGCTCAAAGCATCCTCGACTTTCAAGCGCGGCGTGGCATTGCCCGATTGGCCCTGCGGTGGAGTGGTTCCACCCACTGGGATACTGTTGGCAACCACGGACGATGGAGGTGTTTGGGCTGTGGCCAAAGGTGGCTGCTGAACAGGCTGTTGCTGGGACATCGTGGCCAGATTACCCACGGCGGTGGCCACCGTCTGGGTGCCGCTGATTGTGCGCTGGCGGATTGTGCCAGTTTGTGAGCTGCTGGAAACGGTCTGGGCGCTAGCGGGATTGCTCGCTCCTGCTCCTCCGGTTACATGAATCTGTACTGTGTTTCCGCCATCCGCTGAGCTGGTTTTGAGAGTTCCACCCGCCTGAATGGAAGCCACGCTATAAGCTAGAGGAGAAATGAAAGAAATACATGAAATAGGCATTACATCATGGGTTGTAATTGAGCACTTACATGTGGTATACTGTAATGTTTGGGTGCCGGTGCTGCCCGTGGAGACCACTACACCCCCACCGCCTGCTCCAGCGCCTACTCCTACGGCCACCTGGGCTCCTGCTCCTACAGCGCTAGTGCTGTCCACAATCGAGCTCGTGGTCTTCAAATTCGTAGCCGTCGGTGTAGTGGACGGCAAGTAGGCAATGGTCTGGGCTCCTCCATGCTGCGGCGTAAGGATGCGATGGTGAATGGAACCGATGCCACTAATGGTGGCATTGTGGGCAGCTCCGGGCACAACGGTTCCAATTGTCACGCCCGCCGTATTGACGCCTACGGTGGTGGTGCCACCGCTGCCAGACGCTGACCCTCCTCCGGCCACGCCCACGACTCCTACGCCCACGCCACCGGATGTCGGTGGACCGGGTCGCGTGCCGAACTGCACCTCGTCGACACGGGTGCGTTTCATCATCTTCTTCGTTGCTCTGTTCTCGGCGGTGCCTCTTGTGCTCCTGTGCTGCTGCTTGCTAAGCACTCTGTGGCTCCCTGTATCCCTGCCCAAGTGCAAGGACTCTCTGGCTGCTTTGGGTGATTGACCGCCCTCTATGAGCGTATGTAATATGCAACGAACGGTCGGGGTCGCAACTCTTGGTCCTGGACTGCTCGTGGATGCGACATATGTTGTCTATACATTTGGTATCCCCGCAAGCGGCAAATGCGCTCGAGTTCTAGGGTAGAGAAATTGAGCTATCTGTTTGAGTTATCTGGGCCGGTAATTCACGTCTGCCACGTAACTCCCGGAGTTTTTTCTGGATATCACTGTAAATAAAGAGAAGGAAACGGTCATCAAAACTGCGTTGAAAAACAAGTTAATAAAGAGTCTCTTCTAAGTATATTTTAAGAATTCTAAATTTAACCTTTTTTCCTGCAATATAACTTTGCTAATATTCTATTAAATAACTGTCGACTTTAGCTAAGAACAAAATATTTATTTGTTTTGAATATTAAGGGACTTAAATTGATTAATAAATTTAACATGGTAATTCACGAAACCATAAAACATGACTCTTATTCTTTTTACCAAAACAGGTTTGCTAATATAGCACAGCTGATTGATCAATTTGGTCTTTATCTAGATATCTTTTCAAAACGATTGCACATTCCAACGAAAAGGTAGAATAAAAAGCACACTGCGGAATTCTTCTTTAGCCGTATCACAAAAACTATTGAGTGAAAAGCGATGTCTTTGTATTGGATACTGGATCCGGAGGTGGAAAGAAAGGTAAAGAGCATAGGAATGGAATGGAATGGTGGAGCTCTGAGCAATAACAACAGCTAGAGAGTGGAGGAGATCAAAGTAGAAGTTTAAACTCGGAGGAGAGTGCAAGTTAAAAGAAGTTTACTTTAGTATGTGTACGTGCAACCGGAATTGGGCGCGCGCTTTGTTATTGCTTTTAGCGGTACAGTAAATACTTCCTAAGCGAGCTTTCTGTATACACCTTCGTTTGCTTAAAAGTGTCTGTAATATATATATGTGCATGTGGAAGGTGCCAAATGCCCCATGCACGACATCGGCTTGCATAGAATTCAGATATATATATATCCCGACACCGCGAAGGGGCGGGAGGCGGGGGGAGTATTGCTGGTACATATTCTGTATCTACAACTTACAAGAAGAATAAGAAGAAGAAGCGGCAAACGCAACAATGCAAAGGTGGTGGTATTTACGGTGGTGGTGGTGGTGCAGTCACAAAGAGAGTCAGAGAGAGCGCCGCATTTGTTGTTGAGGCGCAGTATGATATGGCTGATTTTTTTTTCAAAAAGGTATTTCACCCGTTTGGGGCCAAACACACACACACACTCACGCAGTAAGCATTTGGCGGGCAATCGGGAGAGTGAGAGAGCGCAAAGCTGCGCAGGCCAGATAGAGAGAGTAAATACAAGGTGAATGGAAACCGCCTAGAGGATCAGATCATCCTGCTCCAACCTACTGAAACACCCCATCACAACCAACAGCTGCCCCATTTTAGCATTTGTAAACAAATATTGGAGCACAGTACAGCCGCACAAAAGCTCTAGCTCCTCTCTCTCCCTGCCACCACCAACTATCCTTAAAAGAAGGTAAAACAAGTTCGCTCTTTTTGCTCTCTCAACTACCTTTTTTGTTATTGTATTTTTTGGATCCGCCATTAGTGCATACCAAACAGCTTTTAGTGTGTGTGTGCGTGTGTGTTGGATGAGAGAGGCTCCAAATTGGGGCGTTGTGCGTGTGTGTGCGAGTGCTTTGGGGAGACATGTGGGCAAATTTTCCCTCCATTTTTTTTGTTCAACCCGCTCTATTACGTGCACACGTATAATGCTATCTTATCTGTTTTGTTATGTGTATACACAGCACAGAATACGCAGCACAAAAGGCATACAGCGGAAAAATATGCAAAAATCTTAAGCACTTGATTTCTTAAACAAATGCAATACGAATCATCGCAAATTAATATTTAGTTTGTGAATTACTTTCTCACTCTTCTGGCACACTCACACACACTTGCAGACTGGCGCTGCGCTATTAATAAATTTTGCAAATAAAACATATGGATGTATAGAAATATGTACAATATATACATATATATTATTTCAGCAAACGTTTTGTGTAAAATTTAAAAACGAAAGCAAGAACAACAAACGACGGATGTAGGGAACACATAAGAGGAGCAGAAGAAAGATGTGAGCAAAAGGGAGCCCCACAAATGATGCTCTCATTGGGGAGCCATTTAAATGCACACTCACACCGACGCAATATGGCTCTCGCCAGTACATGCGAATGGCGCATCAAAGCAAAAGTCGAGATAAGCGCACGAACTGAGCAAAGAACGAATCAACGAACGAAAATAAAACGACACTACGTTGAAAAAATACAGTCAGTTCATAAGCAAGCCAAAAGCAATGGTTCAAAACGCGCCTGTGTTTGTGTGTTGCTCTCCTCTCCACCCTCGTCCGTGTGTGAGCAGAGCAGCAGCAACACAAACAACAACCACGTCGCCGTCGACGACTTTTTGTCTGTGCGCCTTCTATATGTATTCGCTGTGGCTCGCAATGCGACTGTGTGTGTGTATGTGCGTGTGTATATAAACCAATTGAAATTGACCTAACCTAAAAATGTTGTATTTTTCACAAGTTTTCAGTGGCACGAACACGAATGTTGCTTGAATATCCGCGCACCAAGTGCACTTGAAGGATGTTCCTCTGCACTTTTCACGCCCCCACCGCCCTTAGCACTTACATCAGCAATAAGCAGTTAGCTTCGTCGGTTGATATTCGGCTGTGTGTATATTCGAAATGTATGTATGTATGTATGTACTGGGCGCGTATGTATATTTACTACAAAACTGCCGTTGGTTTGTGTTATTGGAAACTTTCACGTTTTACGCAGTATTTTTTATTTTGCACTAGCAACTACTATTTCCGCACTCAATACTGGCACACCGAAATCTGAATTTTCACCTTCTTTAATGGTTTTGTGTGTTTTAAGTTTAACGTTTATTTCAATCACTTTGCACTTGGCTCCCCTTCTCAGTAGATCAAAGTAGGCGATTTAAGACATTTTCTTTTCGGTAGATTTCTACTGCTATTCACACAGTTTTGGCGAGAAAACGTTTTCGTACATCCTAACGCCGCCGCAAACATTTTCGATTAAAATTGAACGGCGAAACGACGACGGCCAGTTAGTCGGAGTCAAAAAGAGAGAGAGAGCGGAGAGAGACCTTGTGCTCTCAGAGAGAGAGAGAGAGCGGTGTAGAGAGGGAGAGTGCGCGCGCGCAGTGTTGCTTTGGAATTCATTTTCTGTCGCCTCTGTTGCCGCCGCGGCTAAAACAGGGTGGCAACTCAGCGGCGCAACAACCAAAAAACATCCGTCGCGCGCATTGAAATCATTGTGATTGCCACTAAATAAAATGGTGCACCTATTAGTACATAACAACCGGCAGCAGTTACTTGTACTCCCCATTGCTCACCGCATGCAAATCGCCTCAAAATGGCGCTTAGAATTTGGATAAGAAACGAACAATGGCAAGGCTTACGTAAGTGCAAAAAGCAATAACAAAACGTTGGAAGGAGAGAGGAAACAAGTCTGCGAGAAAACAGGGTGTTTTTTCTTCTATAACCATGTGGCCTGTAGTTAGATCCCACCATATAAACAAGATACCCTGTTTCAATCAAAGAGAGCGCCTGAGAGAGCAAACACAACCAGTACACAAAAAGCAACAGAACACTGGAGGAAGACAGGGTGTTTATTTGTTACTTATCCATGTGGCTAACAAGAAGTCAGACTATATCAGCGAAACACCCTGTTGCCGCAAAAGAGAGAGAAACGCACTCACACCAACGCGCCGACCCCGTGTATACAGTGGAAAGCGACGTCGGCAGAGCGGATTCAGCCGACTATTGCAGTACATAATGAAATCGACGAAACCGAAAATCAGAAACCAAACGGACCACTAGCGAGCTACAACTCTGCCACGGCTACACTTTACACACTCATGTACTCCTCCACCTCGCTCACCAGCCCACACACACACCCACAAAGGGGTGCGTGCGGTGAGAGGCAGGCAGGAAAAAGTAAAAAAGCAAAGTGCATCTCACCATGACAATGGCGGAACCATAAAAACACATGTTCCCATCTTGAATCGAAGCGAATTCGGCGGCCCACCTCCTTCGAAAAAAACAGGCGAAAAATATCTGTATACGCGAAAAAGTTGAGCTGCTAAAAATGCGACATGGAAACCTTGCACTTATCGATTCGCCTCGCTCATTGCGCAATGAAAAATGCAGCGGGGGTGGCGAGAGAGAGCCTCTCTTTCTCTTTGAGGCACCTGCAGCGATAGGAAATGCAAATCCGCCTTCCACTTTCCAGCTCAAAAGTTCAAAGTTCACGTGCAACCAAATACTGGGTGCAGCGCATGCACCGAAATCCCCGGACCGAAAAAAAGGGGCAAACAAAAACTCTCCGACTTCCAGGCGCCGCAGGAAGGTTTGTTTGCCTTTCCATTGGGTATTATTGATGTTTTTTTGATAATAGTGCCAGGTGGTTTCGCATGTTCTAATTATCCCTGTGCTAGTTTCAGATTGCTTGTCTTGGAATACTGCAAAAATAAATGGATACAACACATATTATATGTGGTTCCTGTTACAACGATCGAGCTTTATATAATGTCAATTAATTGGATATTCATACGTGGTCAGCAAACTATCAGATTTAGGTTTTCGCCTGCGTCGCCTGATTTATAAAGTGATGAATTCCTTTTAGAAATTAATGTTTCAATGTCCGGACATTAAAATAGGTAAAAGTTGTATACATTTGTGTGTATTGTTTACATTATAAAATTGTATTCATTTTTAATTTAATACATTTTTCGAGTCAGTGTCAATTATTGGTGAAATGAAACTTGAAATGTCTCAAAACTTAGTTGTGTGATAAGACGTTTAAATTATAATTTTAGTCCTAACATTTTTTAAAAATGGTCACAGCTTAGGCTATATTTTTAAAGCGAATGTATTGAGAAAATGGTTAGCAAGCATATATTATTTTAAAACATTTAAAACCCTGACTGAAATAGACTAAGTGCCATTCCTAAAACCTTTTAAGATATGATTTTTTGAAGCAACAAAATAACTGAGAAATGTGTAAACTTAAATTTTAAACAGGACTAAGCTGTATTTTTTTTATTTAGAATTTCCAAAAAGGGTAAAAAAACAGTAATTTTTAACTGTTGACCAAAGAAGTTAAAATACCCATGTCGTGCGCTAGTTAAGACATGAGCAGTGTAAAAATGTTCAACGTCTAATACACTTCAACTTCGTTCGACCATCAAGTTCAAGACTTGTTCATTGGCCTCGGGCAAAAAGACAATTGCGAATTGCAAACAATCGGTTGGCGACGCGGCAAGTGTTGTGTATTTTTTCTCGGGAGAAAGATCGAGAGAAGTGTGGAGAGACTGCCAAAACTGAGGAGAGTTTGAGTTCAGAAGTAACTTGTTTTTCAAGTTTTTCAAACGGCCTAAACCAAACCAGTCGAAACTTGAGGCGCTTCACAAAGAAAATTTGGGGAAAACGTGGAAAGCACGGCGAATAAATGTATGTGTGTGTAAATCAATTGGACCTCACAGAAGCAATGAGCCCGATTTCAACGAATTATTTAATTAGAATCAACGTAAGCCGCCCGCAAATTGAAGGCTGAACTGCTATCTCGCTCACCTTGTGCACACGCAACACACATGAACCAAAAGGGTACTCAGAGCTGCCAACTCATAATGCTATTGAACCTCGTTTAAAATTTTGTTTCGAATTTTTCAATTTCCTAAAGTTTTGGTTCGTGGGAAAAAACTGAAAATACTTCGATGGCTCGTCAATCTTAAAAAAAAAACTGACGTAGAGATTGACATTTTCTTAAGATACAAAATAATTTAGTTGAATGTTCTTTTAAACAATTGTTCAAAACTCCCAAAAGAAATTGTATTTATTGGGACTGACATGATACATTTTGTGCGAGTTGGCAGCTCTGGAGCGAATGAACGCAACAATAACAAAAGGTGAGCGCGGTAAACGCGCTCTGCCTCTTATACACACACACACACACACCTGGGTGTTTTGGTTGCCTTCGATGTATGCACGTCTGCGTCATTGTTGTTGCTGTTCTCAATATCTTCCTTTCTTATTTTTATTTACTCTCAGAGGCTCTTTTTTTATATTTTATCAAATCAAAGGCAATTAAAAATGTCTACACACACATACACGTGCCAACAGATGGCGGAACTTTTTGTTTTTATGTATTCAGCAAGGCGATAAGAGCGATTTCCACAAAAAATATACACATTTCCACACTATTTAAGGCTGTAACTGTAATTTTAGCTGAATAAACTCATTGATAAAAACACAGTTTTTAAACTTAAAGTCAAAGGTTGAATATTTTGAAATGAAAAAGGAGTGAATGCAATATTTTGAAACGATTAATGCCGCTAGAAGCTTTAGTTGCCGCCTAGCGTAATCATTTGGGGCAAATTGAGGTTAAGTACGAGTATGTTCTTAGCACCCACTCACTCACTCACACACACGCATACAAGGGCGCGATTTTTCATTATTTATAACTTACCTTGTTTAATAGCTGAAGTTGATTCCGGTTTTTGAGACTTTTACTTTATTTCTTACTTCCGCCAACTAGCAGATTTCTGGGAAATTTTGAATTTATTGCGGCTAATACTTTCAGCTGCTAATAGAGCAAAATGAGGGGAGGGAGAAGAGAGAGGAAGAGAGTAGCGCGTGAGCTGCTGCTTCCTCTTCTTACATTTGCAACAAACACATGCAAACACTCGGCACAGGAAATCGATTTAATACGAAACTTTTCTTTTAATTTTATAATTAATGCACGCAAGTTTACACTCGTGCTTTAGTTTATAAAACTCCACACATGCACACGCGGCTGCACAGGCATATATGTATGCGAAATGGAGAACCCCTCACGCCAGGAATTCAGAAATTTACATTTTGCACTCCGAAAGCTACTAAATTCTGCAATGTTGCCCGCTGCGTCTGATTAAAGCACTTATTATTGTTACTTGGACTCTAGTGTTCAAATTAAATTAGTCGCACAGCCGTGAAAAATGACCAGCAAGTAACAAAAAATTCCAACTCGGTTTGAGTGCGCGTGAGTGTGGGTGGCCCTAAAAAACAACAGGGCTGCAGCATCATGCGAAGAAAAATACCGACTTGGCTGCATATATACCAGAAAATACTGGTGGACTTCATCAAAAGTGCAAATAATAAGGGTGTTCCCTTAAAAAAAAGTTAATGCTGTAAATTCAAATTAAATAATTGAATGTTTAAAAAATAACCAAGGTTTTAATGATTTAATTATTAAATTTCGGAATTTTTTCAAAATTAATGCGACTCGATATAAATTTGCTTTTCACTTATTGTACTGTGAAAAATGTTCAGCCTTTATATTAACAACAGGTGTTTTTACTAAACCTTCAATTTTGCTTAACATCTTAAACTTATCCGTTTAAATTTAGGTTGTTCAAATTCATTTCATTATAATGTGAAAATAGATTAAAATGTGCAGAGCCACTATAATATCTAATCTAACATATTTAAGTGATTATTTAAGTGCAAACGGATGATGCCAATTCCTCAGTCTTCTGGTTGTCCTGATCCTGATTCTAGAAAGTTTTCTTGCCAGACAGTTGGGGTCAGCGTGACGACTGTAATTACCGGAGGCTGTAACACCATTCTTTCCTGTTGAATTCTTTCCATCCTAGTCTCAATCCTGTCCAGCTTTTCCTGAGTCCTTTTCAGCATTGCCAGAGTTGCATTTAGTTGGTCACCTTGAATATTATACTGCTTCCGGAGGTTAGCCATGTGATCATAAAGAGGGTGAAGTGCAGCGAGACAAAATGCCCCACACTGAGATGGAGCGTCGGTTACAATGCACCGTGCACACGTATTGTCCTGTGAAAGGACCATGCCTTGGAGGTCAGAGATTACCAACACGGACATAAAATAAAATCCGAGATTAAACATTTTTAAAGCGAAGAACCACCGATGGCTAATGTTTCCAATAAACTGATTCAGATATTTATTAAATAAATTTGGAGAATTGCTTTGATAAGCACAATTCCCTCACACATTATTTATCATATTTTACTAAATTTATGATATTCACGTCTGATATTCAGAGGCCCCAGTCCAGTTTTGATAAGCCACACGCGTCTTAAACCCAATCCGTATACACTACACAAAACAAGTAAATATAATTTTTGCTTACAACAAAAACAAAATAAATTTCTGTTAAAAATACTAAATACTTATTTTACGAATTGTTATTAGGTTTGGGTTTTTAAAATACTTTATTTTATATAATTTATAAAAACAAAATTAATTTTTGTTATGAGTTATAATATTTTTATGTTTTCATGTTTTCTATGCAAATTTTTCATAAGCTCAACTGAATTCATAAGCTCAAAGAATCAATATGTCTAAAACGACGTCAAAATGGGCTTAAAAATTAATTATTTATCTAATTAACAGGATGATGATCAATATGATTATTTTGTTTATTTTAATTCCAACAGCTTTATGACATTATTATTATTATTATTACTGTAAATATTTCTATATTGATGTTTTTGACACAATAAGGATATATTATTTAACATGTATTTGGTCTGTTAGGATTAGTTTTTCAGAAATTTACTAACGCAACAATCACGACTCCCGATGGTTTAAGTATGTGCTAAACCATTTACTTGGGTTTGAAAAACAGAAGAATCACAACCGTTGGCTTTTTTAGTACCTTTGCGTATTACTGGTGTATTTCAGGTACGCAGGCACACTTCACTCCTCTGCCGCAGCGTCAGGTGGCTTGATATCGCGTTCCTCTCTCGTTTATTCGCTTTTATTCGTTTTATCACCACTGTCGTCTTCCACGCACATTCGCAGCGCCACCCGTCGATTTACGTGCCATTTGTTTTGAATTTTCCGAGTGAATTCGACGCGCCCGAAAAAGTCTCATCGCATGCCAAAAAGCGGTTCCGAATATCGTTAACAAGTGTGTGGGTCGGGTTGTTTAGTTTGTTGAAACATAAACACAACGCTCGACTGTTTATCGTGCATTTAAAGTTTCCCGAAAACGGAAAATTGTGTGCTTTCCAGTTGTGCCAAAAAATAGGAGGGGGAAAAGTTCCGTTGCTTGACCAAGTGCATCTATACGAAAAATATAGATATTCAAGTTAATAAATAAAACTCCCACTTCACCACACTGAATGTCCGAGAATAAAGGCATCATGCTGGCCAAATCTGTTCAAAAACACGCTGGACGTGCCAAGGAGAAGGTGAGTTTGGAGCCAAAACGCAAATTGCAACGCCCACGCAAGGTGGGAAGGTCATGAAACCCACCACCGAACTATGCACCACCCCCTGGGCACCCCAAACCACCACCCACCCCGTAATCGTCGTTAAGCGAAGCATTCCAGCCGAATTGGTGTCCCTGTCCTAGTTCTTCAGCTGGGTCACCTGCACTTACACATCTCCACCGATTTCCAGTCCAGATCTCAAGGGGTTTCCAATTTTATAACATATGCAGTCGAAACTTTATAATCAAAACACCTGTCACGATACAACTATTTTTTTTAAACCAAGATTAAAATAGGACTGAAATACATAATTTGAATAATGTGCTAATTTAAAATGGCTTATTAACCTTAAAACTTATTGTCCTTACTGTTTGCTTAATAAAAAACTTGAGGGGTTATACTTCTTTATTTCCTTAAATAAAACCTAATAAATGTATCAAAAAAAAATTTAGAAATCAAGACAAATGATTTTTAGACACATGTGTAAGTACATATATATTTAATTAGGAACTTATATATATGGCATAATTACAATCTTTGTTAATAAAATATTTGAAATAATTTGATTCAAAAATTATTTATCTTTAAGCTTGTTGCTATGATATAACTTTTTTCTTTTTTTTTTGTTATATTTGTTTAAACTTGGAAACATACCCTACTTAAACCTACGAAAAGTATTTCACTTTTATTGACATAGACAAGGTGCACTAGCTGCTTAGATAGGTTTTAAGTTAAAGAAAAACTATCTCCAATTTCCAAAAAGATTTCCCTTAAATCAATCAGTCAGAAGATGAGGAGATTGTGAGACACCTGTCGCAGCAATAAGCCAATCCCAGCTTCTCCGATGATTTTCATCTTTCCCATTCATGAGATGCGCCTGTTGGATTTTTGAATGTTTTTCATCTTTCCGCCGATGCGTACCAGTGAAAGTTGTGTTGTTGTCGTATTGTTGGTATTGTTTTTGTTGCGTTCGATGCGGCGAAATGTCAATAAAGCGGGGCCCAAACAACGTGTAAAAGCTGACCCAAAACGGGTTTAAGATGCCTTCACTTCACTTAACTACGGTTCGGTTTGGTTCGGTTCGACGGGCGCATTCCAAGATCTCCAGACCAGAGTGGTTCGGCGGCTAAAAATGCTGTAATCTCAGCCAGAGCAATAGAAACGCTGCTATTGATTTCTATGTATATCCGTGTGAGTTGGCATTTCGGGCTGATTTCTAAAGTTCGTTGGTATTTGAGCTCTTTTTTTGGGATGCGACCTGATGCTGATGCTCGTGTGTTGGTCATTAAACTTGGAACCACGAATTCCTCGACTAAATGTCAATGTGAATACGTTTTAGAAGCAGATGATTTGGATATATGTTTGCGAGAATAAGATTTTAAGGAAATGGATTTATTTTGTCGGTTTAAATTAGGTAATTTAATGCTAAAGCAATTTAATGTTAAAAGCTGAAAAAGTTATATCAGCATAAACTTGATTCTTTAACATTAAAAATTTTTATATCAATAGGTATTTTTTTAATTATCCCATTAGTTATTCTTATCAATTTTGTATATGGAAGTATAAACCTAGTTCACTCCCTTACTCGCTTGATTTTCGCCCGGCTCTCTGCTCTAGTTTATTTCATAATTTTCCCTCAAGAAATTTGAAATTTATTTTTAACAAGTTTCGTTCTCTGGGTGGAATTCACATTGCTGTATTATTTCGCATGGCGTGTGCTCAATTTTTGAAATTTCTGCTTGTGATTTTTCACAGCGAGCTTCTTCGGCAGAGAAACTTGTCAAAGCCCGCACACAGGCAAGCGAACAGCATCTTGTGGATGCCTAGATACATTTTTATTTGAGGTGCGTTGAATTTTCCCCCGGCCCAGTCAGCCGCGTGAAAATGTCGCCGTCGCCGTTGCCGTTGTCGACGTCGCTTTTCCTGCCAGTAGTCAATCTTTAAATAGATCCCGCTCTCCTCTGAATCAACTGGGTGTGTGTATATTGTATATTGTATATTGTATATTGTATATTGGGCTTTTGTTTTATAACTCTACGCATACTTTGCCTTTTAGTTTTTCTAAGTTTTCTATTTGGCGAATGGGAGGAGCAATGGGAAAAGCACACAAAATTTCGCCCGCGCCGCTTTTCTCGCTTTTCTCGCTCCCTGGCTATGACCGTTTGGCTATGGCTATTTTTAAGCGGCACCGCACAACAGCTGCCAAAATGTACTCTCCCCTCCGGACATCCTCATCCTCGGTTTGGTTCGATGCAGTGCATCAGCACCGATTGACATTTTATTGGCAGTATTCGATCCAAACTTGCCTGTTGCTTATTGAACTTCTTGTTGCATGCCGACGAAATGTCAACTGTTTTTGGGTTTTTATTTATAAAGCTCCTCTGCTCTCTGTAATTCAAAATCAATGCGAAATTCGCTGTTAATTGCAATTACTTGAATTCTTATCTGATAAATATAGAAAATTGGGCCTACAAGGTGGGAAGTTCGATCTAAATGACAGCTTTTTTTTATTTTCAGAGATTTAAATATATGTACATTAAATTATAAAACTAATTTCATATATGTAAATGCTGAAACCTTACCAAGAACTTTTTGAAAAGTAAGTCATGTTATTATCATATTACTGAATCTAAGAAGGGCTTAAAATAATCAATTCTTGGGTTTCCATCCTCGCCAATTTATTGCTGATCCCATCAGTACATTATCAATTTCGTATCGGGTTTCGCAAGTAAACAAGTTCTTAATAATTCCAAACCGATCGAAATTCGAAGCCTAGTATCCGAACTTCCCAAATACTTGGAAACATTTGGCGGCTGACTTCAAGAGTGGGAGGAACAACAACAACAAATGGCATGTTTACATATAGGCAGCGTAGGCATCTGACACTGCAGTTTGAGACATTTGAGGGGCTGTATTATATATCTTGTTATATGGGCTCAATTCATTATCAAGTGCTGCAGTCTGGCGTTACGCCCCCTTTTCTACAGAGGGGCGTTTTCAAAAGTGCTCACCACAGATAGCTCCTATTCAATAGCTCGCTCGATTTAATCGAGCGTGAAGCAATATAAACGTCAGAGACGGATACAAAATAAAAGATACAGATACAATAATGCGACAGATGGGATTGTAAAAGTTATACACACTGAGGCTTATTAAAAAAAAGAGTGTTCAATTATTGAAATTGCCAACAATCGCGCATGAAAGTGAAGGAAACGGAGGAGCTGAGTCTTTTGTGTCACTTTTTGATTGCATAACAATTGGAATTACTTCACAGCGGCTCACTTTGCCTCATTAATGCACAATTGTGCAGATTGTTAGAAAAAGCTGAGAGATATGGTAATTGGGTGTGAAGTTCAAGTGCTAGTCATGAAACTCTACTATACCACCCCCCCAAATAACAAATTCTATTTAAGGCTGCAGTTTGTTATTTAACCTAAAACTGAAACATCACAAGCACAAGAAAAACGAAAACAAACTTTTGGAAAATGTGTGGCGCGTGAAAAGACGCAAGGTCAATTACTGCCGATTTGATGTCGATTTGTACACTCGAGTCCAAATGAACACATACCCATACTCATTCATTCGAAAATCACACGGCCACAAGTCGTATACGTATTTCTTTATTAGCTCACTCACTCAGCACACACTCTTCGCCTTCGATTTGGTAATCAGAAATCGGACTGGGAATGGGACTTCATATTTTGAATGGGTCTTACCTTGCCCACTCAAGCGTACAAGTTCATAGAGTTCTTACATAGAATGCTTTGCATTTGGTTTGGTATTTTCAGTTGTTTTTTTTCATATAAATTTCTGCTTAGGCGAAGATTCCTTGCAAGATTAGTAACTTTGCTAAGTTTGCTTAAGAAAAGATAAAAGTGTTTTATAAATTACAAATTATTTACCTTTTGAATTTATAAAAGATATAGTTAGTATAAGATAAAAAAATCCAATGTGAAAACTTTGAGAAGAAAGACAAAAATGTGACTTTTAACATAATATATTTTGTAATAATAAAAATGTTTACTTTTTTTGTTAATAAAATATTTTCTGTTGATAATAACTTAGCAGATTTATAGGCTTTTCGGTCCTTAAATAACTTAATAAAGAATTTCTCGGAACTTAGATAACCGACAAATGTACATTTTTTCCTCTTTTCTACATGCAATATTAATTATTAAATGAAATTTAAAAAAATTCTAAATTATAATCTCTGTGGTTAATATTTTTTCCCATGTACCTGAATAATTCTAATGATTTGTGAAAATTAAATTCAATTTGGGAAAGATCCGATACAATTTTGGTGTAGCGTTTAAATTCCTTCACTGAAATAATTTTAATACTGATTTTGCTAGTGTACCTACTTGCTGAATTAATTTTGTTATTAGTATGAAAATTAAATTAAATTAAATTCCTGCAGCTTGAATAATTCCTATAGAGTGTCGCCATTAAAAAGTAGAATCAGAGGCAACTGCTAATCTCGAAGAGCAGTGTTTTTATTTACCTGTCTGACCCTCAACCAGCCGACTGCTGCTCCAAATTCGAGTCTCGAGTTGGGAACCTGCGCTATCTGGCTATCTGGCCCCAAGTTGTTGGCCAAGTTGACTGTCGGATCTGCTTATGCACATAATAAATGCGCATCGTATCTCCAGACTGTGTCAGAGGGAAAAAAGTATCAGATTTAATTCACTATTCGTACGCGGAAATGGGGAGGAAAAGAGATCACCAGGGGGCTAGAACAAAAGGTAGTAGATCGGAAAACAGATCCCAACGCAGATACAGAGCACTGAGCACGCGATTTGCTAATGCCGCGCTGTTGTTCTACTTTGAAATGCAATAAAAAATAGCAAAAAAAAAAAAAAAAAAAAAAAGGAGACTGCCAAGGCATGGGAACCCACTTCTCATACCGCGAAAGTGTTGTCAGTTAGTTAACTTGTTATAATAATTATTTCTATTTTCTACTGTTGTTTTGGATGGGATTG